CCTAATGTTTATTTTTCAATGCTGATATATTTGAAGTAATGTAGGAAAGAATGAGAATAATAGTAAGTAAAGAAAACTATAAAAATAAATTACACATATCAGAAGAAGGAAACTTCAAGATAACTTTTGGGTCATCTGTACAGCGGTAAAGATTAGGAGACTTATTTACAAGGATATTCGTCTGATGATAGTTTCTGTGTAGCTGTATGAACTGTCATTTGTCATCCCTCTTCATGCACTTAAGGATGAGTAAATAAAAAACCATCAATCTCTGGTTTGTTAACCTCCTCAGCTGTTCATTTTAACGTCTTCATTTTTCCTGTGCCAGAAATTGATTTCGTACTACTTTCTCTTTCAGGTGCCTGAAGAGATGGAAGTATTCACCATCAGCTTGTTCAATGCTACTGGTGGAGCCAGGCTGGGCAATATAACAAGTGCAATTTTGCAAATTACAAGGAATGATGATCCTATTTATTTTTCAGGTTAGATGTTATTGATTCTAAATGTAGGATACACGTACTACCCCAGACGGACTTTATTGAGAAACTCAAACTTTCACTGAGAAAGCCTGATCTCAGTGGAGCTGGTATAATATGTTCATGGGTTTGTTGTGTTGAATTTTTCTTTCTTTCCTTCAGAAACTTCCCTTCTTTTATTTGAGTATTCTCTTTGTTGATCCTGGTATTGGCTAGGTGGCTACATACAACTTGTACCTGCAAGTATTTCCATGACTTTACTGTACAAGCCTTTTGTTTCACTGAGGAGGATCCCCTTGGAAGGATTAAATAAATAGGCCACATGCAAGGGGCTTGAACTCAGGGAGATCTGTTGTATTTTCAGAACCTCTGACAGTGAATGTTGAAGAAGGGAGTGTTGCAAACTTTACAGTCGTGAGGAATGGATCTGCTGATGTGGCTGTTGCTGTCCACTACGTTACCGTTAATGGAGAAGCCACAGCTGAAGAGGGAGACTTTGTTCCCACTGGAAAGAGCAGTGTCATTTTGTTCAGTGTTGGAGAAAGAGAGCAGAACTTATCTGTGTATATTAACGATGATGATATCCCTGAAACTGATGAAACGTTTTATATCTTCCTTTTGAATTCTACAGGTAAGAGTAATGATTTGATGTATGTTTAGTAACTCTCCTTTTTTTCCTGCATTTTTTACCGGCTTGGTTTTATCATAAAGCAATATATAAATGCCAGGTATTATACTAACAGGGTATACTTCAACATTTCTGTACAGTTACTGCACACAGTGTGCTTGGCTTTTCATCTTCAATTGTTTAACTGGAAACGAAAATGAAATGACACAGCTGAAACCTTTTCTGCAAAAACAAATGGAGTGCAAGTCTCTTTTCAAATGTAAATGCTCCCAATTAGAAGGGATTTTGACTTGACTACAGAAACACAAGGCTAAAGAATGTTACTACTGCAACAGTCTCAGGGAAAGGGATTCTTTGAGATTTTTTGTCATGCTCCAGTGTGTAATACACAACTGCCTGTTTTTTGTAAAAACAAACAGAACTGCCTTATTTTAGACAAAAACCGTGTAAATTTCTCTTTCTCATGTTTGTAGTAATGCAGTGTATTCATACCTGTTTTTCAGTCTGACATTAGTTCTACAAGACTTAATCTACAGAAAAAATGTGTCAGAAATTACCCAGTAATACCACCAGTAACGAATGGGTTTATTATCTTAGAAATAATACTGTCTTTTTTTTTAAAAAAAACAACAAACCATCAGAGTTATCATTTAGCAGGAAATAATGCAAAATTATTCAGCACATTCCTATTTTTGAAATAGACACCTTCTGGAATAAATAGTCACAGCTGTGTAATACTGATAAGAAAATACAAGTGAAATGCAAGAAACATGTAAATTTCCTGGGTTCTACCTGCTTAATAAAGACCTTCCCCACCCGTAGCCCTGCTAAATCTCAAGGTATAGTGGGACAGTAATTTACAATTGTGGTAGCAAATGTTAGTAATTTACTGTCCTTCAGGTGTTATTCTGTAACTAAGAGGTAATAACAGGATGTGAGTTCACTGCAATGCAAATCAAAACTGGGTTAATAATCCGTCAAAATGACTGCTAAGATTTGAGGAGCCCTAGTTTAATAAAACGAAGGAGAACTGTCGTGATTAACCATCAGGATATACCTTCTCATTAGATTGTGTAATAGGTTCACAAAGTAAGAGATCTAACAGGGATGAGGAAATACAAAATTAGATTTCTTCATTTAGACTAACTGTCTTGGGCCTCATCACAGTCGATAATGAACTTTCACAGTGAGACTGAGAGTCGTTCGGGTCACACGGAAGTGGACACTGTGGCTAGTCTGTGAATTGCTCGTGTTGGTCTCACACTGTAACCACAGCTAGAGAACTATAGGGGAATTTTTAGCAAGTATTTGGCATAAGGTAGTATAAGGGTATATAGTAGCTTATTTGTTTCCTGAAGTCAACTGGAATTCACTCTGGAACCCAGGTCTCTTACAGAGCATCAACCTTATGGAATGGATTGGATGAAGCCATGCTTCTCCCTTCTTAAATCTCTTTAGTGACTTTCTTTGGGATCTGTTGGTATTTTCTCTTAGCACTCTACTGAGAACTTATGATGGCTTTCCTCTTGGCATACTGGGACTGCAAGAATGGGTGGTTGTAGGCTCCCTTTGCATCTAAAAGAAGGATCACATTATCGTGCAGCCTCTTGAGAATCACTAAGAATGCAGAATATATGCACTCCTGAAAGCAAAAGAATTTACTTTCTGTGATCTGTTGCATAAATTGGTCTTGTTCGCTACATACCTGTTGTGCCCCAGGGAAAATGCAGATAGAAATACAGAAAATACAGGTAGAAAAGGTGAAGTTAAAGCAGTAAACATGTTGCTTACTTTGGAACAAAAGGTGATATAACGCTTTTACACAGGGTGAAAAATAGGATGAGGTGGAAACTTGATGTACATCTGTGGACATAGGAAGGGTGTTAGAGTGTCCCTACAGTGCTAACACACTCAGAAATCCTCCTAGCGTCCCCTCTACTTAACAGGTCTTATATCCCTTCCTTTCAGATTGGCTGTGATAAGGGGATGGGCAAACTCTTAGACCTTGTTCTTAGCTTGCATTTTGTTTAAGTGTAATATTTCTATTCTGGGTCTAAAGGAGAGCTGGGGTCTCTGAATACATCTTTTTATTTTGACTTGAGCGATTGGCCAAAAATGAAATACTACCTCTTTTAAAATCCTTTCTTCTCAGAATCACATCGTCTCTGGTCGTGTCGCTCCGTATTTTTTTCCTGCAAATCTTATGCATGAGGTGCTACTAAAGTATTTTTACTATGATTTAACTGTTACTGAATATCTCAAATATTGGTTTTCCCTGATCTTTTTATCATTGTTCATTACTTTGTATATAAGTAGTTGGTGCGAGAAGGAAACACTTTCTGTTTTAGAGTTAGCTCAAATTCTGATGCCAGTTTGGATAAAAATAATCACCCTCTTTTTAGGAGATACTGTTATCTTTAAGGCTGGAGTGGCTACAGTTATTATTGAAGCAAATGATGATCCTAATGGAATTTTCTCCTTGGAACCTTTAGAGAAGCCAGTGGAGGAAGGCAAAAGTAATGATTTTTTGTAAGTAATTCTTGTACTCTTTTGAACTGATATGTGTGGTACAGTATGGATAGTAGCTTGATCTAATCCCATACAAGTTTGTATTGATAAAAATTTATTAAAGAAAAATAACTTTATCAAATTTTGCATTAAATTATTTGTGGACATATTGAAGACATCAGGCCTTGAAGCAGATACTTAGGATTGTGAATTATGTGTTTGTGCTTGTGTTACACATCTGAAAAGGAAAATCCTTGAGAAAAGAGGATATTAAGTATATTGTGTGTTTAGTTTTGTTATGCTGCTCTTTAGTTGGTCTTTGAGTTTTTTTTCGTCCTTTATAATCTTATTTGCAGGATATTTTTTTTTATTTGATGGTGTTAAGAATGATGATTTGAACTAAACCTATATATACAGAAGCATTATGGAAACACATGATACCAAGATCACCAGCATTTGAGGACTTCGCTCAGTTCTCATTGATGAAATATATTTACTAGGGAGCTGTCTCTCCCATACTCTGGCTGGTTTGGCCATTTAACAAAATTATCAGAGTAGCATTAACCTGACCACTGAGCACAGCTATGGCAGCACTGAGCTTTCGAGGTACTAATTGGAGTTACTGCAGCAGTGCTACACAGGTGGGATAGAGCACCCTAGTTAAGGGCAAAAAAGAAAAACCTTTGGAAGCAGAAATGGTGTGATTCTGTGCCTAGACTAGTTTTGCTGAAGTAATTTTTCAGCCTGATATAATCTCTTTTTAATGGCATTTTATTTCACAGTGCAAACAGAAGCACGCTTGTACTGTGTACTTCAGCTTTTATTTATAATGCCTTTTGGAAATTGGTGAAATTATGTTGCCAGTTTGCTACTCAAAAAATAAATTCTTATTTTCATTTATTACATTCTTAGTTTGCAATTACCACAGATTTCTGAAGGACAAAGAGCATAGACAAATTTAATACCAATGTAAGAAAGAGTTTAAGCGCTAAAGGGAGAAACATTTGTGGTTCAATGTGGATGATTCTCTTTCTTGTCTAAGGGTGGCCAGGTTTATAAACTTTCAATGTTAGCTTGCCGATCTATTATACATCCATATTAGTAATTTACATAACAGAAGTACAAGACAAAGTGATGTTTAGTTTAAGAGTGCTACTTTGCTTAGACCTGCATTGGTTACTGTTTTTTCCTAAGGTGCCTGTACTATACCTGGGAGTAGAATTATCCTGTGAAATTGCAGGCCTTCAAAGAGGATTGTGTTATTGTTCAGAGTAATTTAGAATGTTGTATATTATTTTTCACAGTAAGGAAGATTAGTGTAACCGTGTTTTCTCTTGCTGGTGAATACTGATGCACGGCTACTGGGTTGTTCACTCTTTCTGTATCACTGACCAGGGTTTTGAGACACAGAGGACACTTTGGCAACGTCTCGTTGACCTGGCAGCTGTTTGATAATGGCTCTGCGCTGGGGCCAGGAGAGGAATTCTATGAAACTTACGGGACTGTGCTCTTCATGGATGGAGAAGGATCAAAGCCAATAACACTCCATGCTATTTCGGACAGAATTCCTGAATTCAATGAATTTTACATTTTAAAGTTGGTAAATGCTTCAGGTATTGTCTTCCATATCACCATTCCCTTCATATCTGGTAAAATATGATTATGTTTAATCAATCAAAAAGAAACCAACCCTGGAAAGAGCTTTGCCTTGAATCATGTCTTGGTAGCCTATACTTTTCTGGTAAGGTTTTAGGTTTTAGGTTTTATTTTTCAAGTAATCTTAATTTAGGTATATGAATGCAGTTATTGAGTTGTTAAATTACTGTTATACACATTTTGGTGATCTGACCTTTAAAAAGGATGCTTTTTGGTGATCTCAGAGATAGAGATCTGCATGTAGTTGAAGACAAAATACACCTATTAAAGACTATGCATGTCTACCATATTGGAGGTTGGTTAGTTTGTTTGCGTTTTTCTAAAGGAGGTAAAATACTTACAGTTGCCACTTCATAGGACTTAAATTACAACCGCTACACGTCTGCTACTGAAAGAGCCCAAAATCTCTGGACTCATTACACCTCAGTACTATTTATGATTTTCTGTGCCCACATACAACTGAAAATACGTGTTGGCCTTTCCTGTTGGCAAAATCCATATGCATGTACAGAAAACTTCCTACTTATAATGGATAGATCACCGCACACTTTGAACATGGAGGCTCTGCATTCACATCATGCTCTTCATATCTTGGATTCTCACTGTGCAGAAATAGGTGACATGACCGGACTTGGTAGCAGTTTCAATACACAGCTGGTTACTGATTTTGCAAGGAACCTGCTTCTGTTTCAGAGGCAATGGGCCAAATTTTGCTGTTCCATATTCGTATGAATCTTGGAGTAATATGAGAGCTGAATTTGGCTGCATGTTTATTAAAGGAATCAAAGGTACCCTATCTCATTGACTAATTCAGAAAAATTGATGCTAATCTTGTTTTAGCTGAAAGGCAAAGGTGCTGTAAAGAAGATTTAACCCTTTTTTAAAAACATATTTTAATAAAAAAATAGTTTTAAGTACTTACTGACTTCTTTTGGACTGTATTGTTTGAAACTGACCATTAACCTCTGCTCTGACTTCCATCACACAGGTGGGTCTCCTGGTCCTGGTGGTCAGTTGTCTGAAACAAACCTTGCTGTAACAGTGATGATCCCGTTCAACGACGACCCTTTTGGAGTCTTTGTTATAGATCCAGAAAGCCAGGACAGAGAGATCGTGGAAGATGTTCTCTCTGAAGATGATCTCTCCTACATTACAGACTTCACCATTTGGAGACAACAGGGGACCTTTGGTGTTGTGCGGTTAGGTTGGGAGATACTGACTAGTGCATTCCAAGCTGGACTGCCAACAATGGTAGACTTCTTGTTGCTGGGATCGTTTCCAAATGCAGTACAATCCCAGCCTCACATGAGGCGCCATCACAGTGGAACGGATGCTTTGTATTTCAGTGGAAAAGAGGATGCATTTGGGATTATTGGTCCGGAATACCCATACAATGGAAATACTGCAGTAACCAATTTTACATTTTCAGCGTGGTTAATCCCAGGCATCGGTACAGATGGTTACATAGTTGAAAAGGATGATGAAAATGGGACCTTATATTACGGAGTGAAAATCCAAACAAATGATTCTCATGTTTCTGTAGTGCTTCATTATACAGCATTAGGATCCAACGTGACATATATGGCTAAAGCAACAGTCCTGAAATATCTGGATGAAAATACTTGGCTTCACCTTCTGATTACGCTGGATGAAAGTATAATTGAATTTTACATGGACGGAGTTCCAGTTCTGGGAGGAATGAAGAGCCTTAAAGGAGAAGCAATCGCTAATGGTGAGCCAGTAGCCTGTATTATTTTTCTCTGTTTGTAAGGTTCTGAAATGTATGAAAAGCTTCTTGACAGATGTATACCAGATACTGAAATAAGTGTATCTGATTAGTTAATTGAAAAGAACTGGTAGAAAATTCTGAGGATTTTCAAAAAAACATACGGAAGTCAGAGCTGTGAAAATTCAAAAAAAATCTGAGCTGTAACAGAGCTTGGATTGTAATAATTTGGAAAGAAATTAATAATTTATGATTATATTTATCTTTGTAAGCTTATTATGTATACATAACTCATACATGTTTGCACTTAATAATTTCCATGATATTTGCAGCCCCATAGCTGTGAAAGGACTATTTTCCTCTCAGTTTCTGTAAGAAAATGAAATAACTGTTTTGTTTCCTGTTGTGTATTATATTACAACTAAGCCAATATCTTGTAAGCAATAGGGTTTTTCAGGGTGTAGATTTATTTGAGTATGCATTTACATGGTATATTAAAATTGTGCCTATAGGTTTAATAGTGTTCCAAGAGGCGTTAGGATGTGTATTTAAGTTTATCTAATTCAATAGTCCTACATGTGGTTTTAGTCATAGGTCATTATGGACACTCACTCTGAACTGTGTGTATGGCAGTGACCAGAGAAGTATTAGAACATGCATGGAATTATTCCTTTATAAAGTCAAGTATTATGTGGTTTGAATAACTGTATTATATATACCTTGTATATATTATATACCTTGTATTCTTCTGCCATTTTCCACTCTTCCATGTGCATTTTTTTCCTGGGAGATCATCTTGTTTCCTTTCTTCCACCTGTCTTCAGTGTCACGTGTTTTCTTTGGTAGGGATAGGCAGTGAAGGATTATCAAAATCTTGAATACAGTCTCCATTTCTGTAATCAAAGAAGAATTTAAAAAGATACATTAATGTTAAATTAATATACATCTACATGCATGTATGTACACAAGCATGCAGTGAGAGTACAGAGAAGACTTCATTAATTGTATAATGTAGTATTTTATTTCTCTCTGTAAACTTTCAATGGTTGAAGTCTGAGAGATAAATTTGCCCTCTGTAACTAAGTAGTGCCTCTGCAGTTAATAATTTCCATCAGACTTGCAGTACTGATGAGAGGATTTTTTTCCCCTCAATTTCTAAAACAAAGATTTGTAGAATGCCATAATGCAATAACGTTTTTGTTGCTCGAAGGAGGCATATGCTCTGTCTGCAGATACTACAAGTATAAGGTAAGGTTTCAATGTCCCTGCATTTAATGTTGGATACTACACTGTGGTGAGCACAGTTTTTGTCACCGTCCTCCACTTTGTGTCCTGCATTGCCAGTGGTTGATCGTCCCTAGAGCTGACATTCAGCATGACATGTATGCCTGTACATTCAAGAGCGCAGTTTATTCCAGAACCATAAAATAGATGGAAAGAAGAGAGATCTCTGTGTTTTAGCACAAGAGGACTGAATATGAGCTACCAGCTTAACGTATTTGGGAAAAGGGCAGCTGTGATCCGATGATTTGCTGAGTAGGATAATTGTTTAGAGACAGAGAAATATTAATACTTGTTGTAAAAAGCATTTGGAATTCAGTGTACACACCTGAAGTCCACATTCCCAGAGGTGAAAAGCATGTCCAGAAGGGCTAAAGCAGTGATGATGGGTGTCACCGGGTTGTGTCCACTGTCCTAGCAGAGAGAGACCAAATGGGGTTTGTTCAGCAAAACAGAAGTTGAGGGGTTGCAGCTGTGCTCTGCAAAGCTCTCTCTGAAGGAAAGGGAGAGGTTTCCATGTCTCATAAAAATAAGGGATGGTGACAGCGTGCTTGTAGAAATAGTAGGGTGAAATCCTCAACAGTCTGGAGTGAATTGTTCAAACTGTGATGATTTACTTTTAGTGCTGAGATGAGGCTTGAGGGACCTCCTAATTTTGCGTTTCAAGATCAGTATGATTCCTAATCTAGTGATAATAAACAGTTCACCAATGACTTTTAACAAGTACAGCTGTTCAGTTGCAGATTTATTACTTTGAAGAAATACAGTAACATAAGGAAAACTGTAATTTCTTTCTCAGGTCCAGGAATAGTGAGGATTGGAGCAGGAATTAATGGCAGCAGTAGGTACACAGGGCTAATGCAGGATGTGAGGCTTTATGAGCGCAAATTGACACGAGCGGAGATCTACGAACTCCATGCGACTCCTGCAAAAAGCGATGTCCACCCTGTCTCCGGGTATTTGGAGTACCGGCAAGGAGAGACCAATAAATCGTTCATTGTGTCTGCAAAGGATGACAAAGAGGAGGAAGGAGAGGAGCTGTTCATCCTAAAGCTCGTTTCTGTGCGCGGCGGAGCTCGAATCTCACAAGAAAATACCACGGCACGATTAAGAATACAGAAAAGTGATAATGCTAATGGCTTATTTGGCTTCACTGGAGCATGCATTCCTGAGGTAAGGCCGTCGTAAGGAAAATTATAGGTGAAGTTTTGGACACGAAACAGTTAATGGCAAGACCAGTTGACCTGCACAAGGCCTTAATTTCACATTGTTAGTGTTTGAGTTTAGCAAAGCTTTCCTGGAATTTGGAAATGTGTAAGATCTGATAATACAGCCTCAGCCCCGCTGCCGTTTGCAACATAATTTTTAAAAATTCCCCAAAATTTTGTTAAGAAAACTAATTTTATGACGTATAGTGAAGACTGAAGCTCACATTTTTCTAGAACATTTTTTCATTTACTTCTGTCACATCTGAGACTGGGTTAGCAGTGAAAATATAACATTTAATTTTCTTATTTTTGGAGAAGGGATTCTTAACAAAGATTTTTCTTTTACTTTTCTGTGTTACAAATAATTTTACTAAAGTTTGTGCAATGACAAGGTGTGGTGTATTTTCCACAACCATTTGCTGCCATAAGATATAAATTGCGTATCTTTGGTGTGAATTCCGTTGATATTAGCTGTGAGTTGTTTTTTTATTTAAATTAAATAGTTCTTCAGTGGTAGCGGCCATATATGCAATATACAAACTTGCTACTTTTTTTTGAGGACTGAAATAAGCATAATTAAATTTTACTTCTTTAATCAATTATGAGGGAGAAAGACATGGTACCTGTTTCTACCGGTAATGAATTATTTTGGGAAAAAAATTTCAGAATACTTTCCAATTTGGGAGCTCTCATGACCTTTTAATTACAGGGCTTGTGGTATGTTTGACAGTCACCATCTTGCCTGAGCAATGCTGGTTTCCAACTCGGTTCAGTTTGCTTGCTGTGTGCCTGCCATATGCTGCGATAACAGATTCCTTCAGTTTCAAATGCCACCGATAATGCTGTGATGCCACAGATCAGCAACCAACCATGAAGCGAAATTAAAAATTTATGTGGCATGTTAATTGTTTTGCACTTATCTTGTGTCCATTTCACCAGGGAAGTATTAGGGCTCTCAGTGGCGATGCAGATGCGCAGCGTTGTCTCACCAGTAGTTTAATTGCTTTATGTGCATATCTGCCTGGTAGGCAGCTGGAGGCACATGTGGTTTCTGCACTGTGTTATACAGCAGCTCTGAAATTTATCTCATGCATACAGCTCTTTAGCCTTTCTGGCAGTTTTCAAACAAAATTGTTTTCTCATTTACTTATTTGATGATAATTTTCTAAAATATATGATCACTGTAAATGCCTACTTTGTTCCAAATACATGAAATTGCTGTTGCTGATGTCATATTCTCTGCAGACGAAACTGTAGAGGACTGTAGCACAGAAAAGTTTTCAAAGTTTTTCCAGAATGATGACAGTATAGTTAAATTGTAATGTGTTTGTTTTTTCCATAGTTAGGGAAA